TTTAAGTCTACAGTTGACATCAAACTTGTAACAATCCCTTTCCTTGGCCAAAATTAATCCTACATAAGAGACTTGGATCAAAACGACAAAAATACAATCACATTAATTACTCAATTCAAGCATCTTTAAACGGCTACAAACACAATATAGGTCTGTCGGATAGAGCTAAACAAAACAACGCAAGTCTTGAGAAAACTTTAAATAATATAAGGTTAAACTCCAAAGGAAATTTCTGAACCTGAGTAGCCAACTAGTCACAGCAAAATAGAAATCAAATTGGAAACAGTTGGGTTGAGACCTAAACTAAACCAGGTGCAATGGCAAGAAAAGCGGTGGCTCAATTTCAAGCATTTGATTTGTCTTTCCATCGGAATCATCTTCTTCCACCCCATCATAGCGATCACGGTCACGGTCAGTATATTGATCATAACGATCACCACGGGCATCCAAATTGTGTTCTCTACCTCAATGATGATCATAGCGTTCATAGTGTTGGTCATCTAGGTCCGAACGCCTATGCCCATGATCATGCTGTTCATACCACCCACGATCCTCATCTGGCTCGCCATGATCATAATCCCTCTCACTGTGCCAGTCTCTCATGTTTGGACTCGCGGTCATAATCAGATTTCTTATCCCTAGAATGCCCACGGTCATAGTCATCAACATCATAATCTCTGTCCCTATCCCTCTCATTATCTCTTTCTCTATCACGCTCATAGTCACGAACACTATCCCGGCCTCGTTCACGAGCTCGGTCACGATCACGACCACGATCCTTCTCTCTGTCCCTATCTCTATCTCTAGTTCTTTTGCGATCTCTGTGGTGTCTATCCTCTCTATCTTGATCCCTTGGCCTGTCACGGGAGCGCTCACGAGATTTTTCACGCTCCCTATCCGTTCCCTTCCTCTATCATGCGATTTTTTCCCTGTCTCTAAGATTTCCAAGATAAAACAAATAATATAAATTTATAGTATAATTCTGACTGGGTAACACAAAACACAAAAGCCTAGAAAGTGTGCGAGGCAGAACAAACAATTCTGACATTTATGCTAGAATTGAGCCAGTACACCTTTAAATTATCCAGAGATGGCAAGGATAGAAAATGTGGAACAAAGCTAATCTTACCGGTCACCATGTTGATCCTCTCGTGTCTTTGGCTCCTCAGAACGAGATGGTACTGATTGCTCTTGTTCCCCTGAGTAGCAAATGATAGCATTGAATTTCCAGAAAATAAACAAATCAAACATAGCATTTAGGGGTGAGCGATCAAAATCGAGTTGAGTATATAAAAGTTCGAGTTAATCGAGTTTAGAGTCTTATTTTATAAACTCAAACTTTATTTAAAAATATTTCAAGTCGAGTGGAGTTGTATGAGTTATGTTTAAATTTAATTGCAATATTTACAATATTATAGTACTATTTGATTTCAATTTAAACAATTTTCTATAACCGTAAACAATGCATATATATTTCTTCATTTTTCATATGTGGTATACATATATCATACAAGAGATTCGACTCAAATTTGAAAACCAACCAGGGCAGAACTAGGATGAAATTATGGGAGGGGTCAAGTTGTTTATCTTTGAAACCAACAAGGTTCTAAAAGGTAATTAAACCACAAAAAAATAGAGGATTAGGGCTTAATTTCACTAATTTCAAAATTGCATGTCCTAAAAAGTAATTAAATCAAAAAGTAGGCAAGACTTAATTTCGTTTAACTTTAAAAACTGATAATGTCTTGAAAAATAATTAAACCAGAAAATTTTAAGAGTCAGAACTTAATTTTAATGATTTCAAAACTTTTAAGGGCTTAAATGTAATTAAACCATAAAATTGGGGTGGGCCATGTCTCCATTCTGCCCCCACGTGGTTCCGCCACTGAAACTAATCCACTAATTACTAAAAGTTTCGACTAACTCAAGTTTTATTTTATAACTCAACTCGAAATTGAAATTTTTTTCGAGTCGAGTTTATAAAATTACGAGTCAAGTCGATTCAAGTTTTTCGGTCGAGTCGAAAAAAATCGGTTTTCAAGTCGAGTTGAGTCGAAAAAATCGGATTTTCAAGTGGAGTGGAGTCAAAAAATCAAATTTTCAAGTCGAATCGAGTTTTGCCATCCATAATAGCATTTATATCCAGAAAATAACACAAGTCCAGCATGGTAATAATGCACCTCAAGCTATATGAGAACATCAACCAAGCAAAAATATTGGACTTTAGCTAATCTCTCTGGAAGCACCTGAATTAAAGGTGGCCATGTTTAAGCAATTATACCAAGATTTATGTATCAGCATTACAATACGATGCATAGCCACCACAAAAATACCTTTGAGTAACATCTTCACCTCCAATCCTGGTTGTTCCAAGTCCACCACCTAGCCTGCGAGGGCGCCAATTTGGGACTGTCCCACGCTCAACATCCACAAGAACCCTTCTGCCATCAATCTTCCTCCCATCAGCTTGTTTATAAGCAGCTGCGAGATGTTTGAAAAATATATTAACAATGCTCTCTAAAGTTTGCCAGCTCAAAAGAAAAACGATAATCAAAGCAAACCTTTCATATCCCGAGTATGCATGTACTCGATGAAAGCATAGCCTCTTGGTTTATTTGTGGATTTATCAGTAACCACGTAACCTGGTCACAACAAAGAAATAATTAACACGGTTGAAGTAAAGTGCAGAAGAAAAACTTCTCGTGGGTATCAGATAATTATAATTGCTAATGCTTGATCTCCACAACTAAGTTCTACCACTACAAAAATATTGGAAATAGTAAATTCCTAAATGGCACGGCACGCAGGCAATGCCTCATGAGCCGTGCTCACCTTTTAATCATAGGGCTGCCATTGTCAGATGCTGACCACCATTGCCAGAGTTGCAAATAACTGATGTATCATGGTATATTTACCAATTGTTGAACAAACTAAACTCCCTTTACCAGGAAATATTTTTAAAATAATAGAAAATAATTATAGACTAGAAAATACCAGAACACCTTCTCAACTGCTGATATGTTTTTGATAGCCTTTAAAAACCAAAGTAAAGCTTTTCTTAGCAGGAATATTTTTTTACCCAGAGCACGAAAAAGAACAGATGTCAGCCACCTTTTGTTGCTTCACAATAAAGGCCAAAAGGCACAATGCACAACTGCTCCGTTAAATATAGCTTTTCAGCTTTGCTTTGCAGGAATGAAGCAACATCTTTGTAATAGGATTGTAAAAATATTTGAGAATGAGAAAATATAATCAGCCCTTACCAGGGATACTCTTAATAGAAACTTCTTATGGTGGAACAATACCTAAAGAGTGGAAAGATCACCTATTTCTGGAAATTTCTACATCCCTACCATATTCAAGCAACTTATCAAAGGGTCAAACGAAACTTACAAATCACCCTTACAAGTGATACCTGTTTACTTTTGAAAACTTGAACAGACTAGAATGTGATACATTACAGAACAGGCAGAAGCTCAATACTAATAGATGCCATGAGAACTTGCACCATAAGTTGCAATATAGAAGAATACAAAGTTTATGCAAACATTTAAGAATTGTGTTTAGCATGCTTAAGAAAATATGTATACGTCAGAAACTTCAATATTACACAAAATATAGCTTGCTTTGAAATACAGGAAATGAAAAAAAATTAAAGACTTGAAGTTTATTGTGAAACTAAAATCTTTTGATAGGGAAACAGAGAGGATAAAGCAGCAGCATAACCTCTTACCAAACCCGCATGAGGTGCTCAAAAATACCTACCCGCTTAATCGGTCCATAAGCCTCAAACTCCCTTTTATTCTACTCGGATGTCTCATAGTTCTGCAAGAAATAATACAAGCTAGTAACTTACTCCAGCGTGAATAATTGAAAGATTCAATTAGATGCAAAACTAGGCAAATTCACTTACAAGTCTTGCAACAAACAATGTCTTGTATGGGTCACCTGCAATGTTGGGGTCATTATTGGATCATCTGATAAAAGACAAACAAAATAAAGATAAAAAATCATTACTTGCATTAAACAAATTCATTTGTCACTGATAAGCAACTTAAAGAAATTGGGACTTTACAGTTTTTTAACTCCTCAGCAGCCTTCTCCAAACCCTTCCGAGTCGCAACTTATGAATTATTGCTCTTCGTTGTGCCTAGACCAAGAAAAGAAAATCATTACAAAGATAACAATAAGTTAAAACCTTTTCCTTGGATCAAAGTACAGTTGTGGCCAAATTAACTATAACACCAAAGCCATAATAGTGCACATATTTTTTTTTCACAACAGACCCGGGTTTGACCAGCTATAGTACTAAGGTCTAGGGATGTTCATTTGGTTAATTCGTTTAAAACTATAACAGAATTACATTAACCAAATTTCATTTTTTATTTCTGGTTACCATACCAAAATTTCAAAATGATACTTTAACCAGCTAATTTCAGTAGGCTAAGTTAGAAATATATCTTAAGATCCTAATTTCTCAGAATCCAAAGGAAAAACATCAAATAAAGATTAAAATGCCAAGAATAAGTAAAAAGTGCATAAACAATAATTAAAAATTTCAATAAAAAAAAACTTAAAACATCCAACAAGATTAAAAAGATAATGTTTTTCATATATTGGATCATTTGAGAAATTTTATTATTTTCAATGAAAAACTGAATTACTCGATAACAAAAACATCTTAAATCAGTACTGGTAACCGACTGAATACCCGAATAATTCTGTTTCAATAAGTTAATTAGTTTGCACTGAATAGTGCACAGCTCTAACAATGCATGTCAAACAAAAACATAAGAGAAATAGAAATAGTGATCGCAAATAAGGGTGGCTCAATACAATCAGTAGAAAAATAAATAAGTGATCTCAGTACAGTGATCAGTCAATTAAACATCTCAGGGACATATCACTACTCCAAAAAAATTCCAAATTCAACAAAAACCACAGAAGAAAATATAAAAACAGTACCAAAACAACTAATCATGCAAAACATTTCGCTGAAACGCTGTGCCATCCCTAACAAAGCCAAACAAAACAAATCAACAAATGACAAAATTCAACATCAAATACACGGAAAAGACCTGTGTACGGAAGGCATTTTCTCTTCTCATGAGGGGTTTAAACTCCAACGGAGGTCGTGGTTCAAAGAGCCTCAAGAGATTGGCCGTTAAACCAGTAGGATGACTTTGCCCAATCTGCAACGTATACAAAATCGTATTTAATCATCTTTAACCCCCCAAAAAACAGATGACCATAAATTACCCAATTTATACAAAATATTTAGAAAATAACAGCAACCATCAATTCGAAAGACAAAATAAACTAAATTCATCAAAAAAATAGAAAATAGAAAGCAGTGAACAGAAAAATAAATCTACAATAATCTAAACTAACAAGTCGAGATTAAAAAGTAATCGGATCAGACTCTTCAAAAGAAAAACCTAAAAGGACGAACCAGCTTGAGCGTTGTATATTGGCGCGGTTCTGAGGGGGTTTAACGCCGGCCTGAACGCGGCGGCGTTTTGGTTGCGCATGAAGGCATTGTTGAAATCTCCCATGTTGAAAGATCAGAGGAGACTTTGCTAGGTCTCTTTTCCAAACAAATCGAAGGATTTGGTTGTGAACAGTTAGATATATAAAGGTAAAGTACATAAATCATCATTTACCTTTTTGCTCTCTTCTATTTTTCTCACTGAAATTTAATTATTTTAATTTACTTATTAAACTTTCAAATTGCTCCTATTTTAGTCACTCTACTATTAACTATTTAAATGTGTTATGATATGGTATAAGTATCAAATGACATTGTTTTGAAAAATCTTCAACCTTTTTCGTTTCTAAATGTCTTTCTCTACTGTTATATTAACATCAAATCAGAAATTATGATCTTCTCATTGTCGTTCATCTCTCTTTCTTTGTTTTTAATTTACTCTTTTTTACTGTTGTTGTCGACTATGATATTGTTTTGGTTCAATATTTGGGTTGGTGTTTATTTTTACAATGAGAGATTGTTGAGGGATTGAAATGATTCTTGGTGTGTAAGAGGTTTGGTGTATGGATGTCTATTTAACCTGAAATCGATAAATTTCGGCCCTATCTGATTTGATAGGATTGAATTTTTTAAAACAATTTTGGGTTTGGTTCGATTTTATATATAGTGAGGCGGGTGGGGTGAATTTTATGGATAATTGTTATAATACTCTCTCTATAGTTTTTTTAATTAGATTCTTATTTTATATCATATTGGGTTAATTTATACTCTAAAATTTTGGGTTGGATTAGGTTCCGGTAGAGGAAATGTGATCTTTGGGTCAAGTGAAATACATGTATTTTTTGGGTCGGATCTAGCTCAGGTGGAAGGTATATATTTTCAAATCGAATTGAGTTGATTAAAAGTCCGATCCAACTCGACTCGTTGCCATCTTTATTTAGTGGTAGTGAATTAAAGGTGGTAGAAACAGTAAGATGGGTGAAATGATTGGTGGTGATTTTACGGTGCTGATGGTTGTGGGTTGAGAGGAATTTTTTTACATTGCTTTGGGTTCAATAAAAATAGTTGATTTGAATTGAAAGCAATTGGACGGATGGAGACAATAGGTGACGAATATTAATAAAATTTATATTAATAAGAATCCATGTGGCAACTCAAAAAATAAAAATAAATGACATGTCATCAATGTTAGAGAGATAACATGAGAATGACAACAAATTCAATTTTCAAAGTTCAATAAGTAATTGAGAAGATAATTAAACTTTGATAAGAAAAATAAGAGAGAACAAAATTTTGTGACTATTTATATAATTTATCCATATATAAATGATAGGCTTATTATAAAAAAAAATAAACTACACCAATCTTGGTGATCGTCATTAACGATTAGTTGTCATCCCAATCTTCTTAATTCGTAAATCTTTAAAATCTCAAATATTTAAATCCCTTAAAACACCCTAAATCCTTTTAGTCAGTCGTTGGAGCAATAATCACAATGACAATGATGGTCTTTTAGCGATTTGGTCACCCATTAACCTTTGACCTTTTGACGCATGGGTAATTAATTTGATGATTTGCTTTTAGTGCATAGGCTAAATTAGCCTAAGACGTCCATTTGACCTTTGACCGTTTGACAATTGATCGATGGATAGAGATTTAGGGGTGAGACAATAGTGACAACGGGATGGTTGATATGGTTGGAACTTAATTTTTTTTTAGAGATTTTTCTGATATTTTAGAAAACAATAGATTTTTTCAATAATAATAATAACTTTAAGTTTTTTAAAAATAAAATTTTCAAAAAATAAAACATAAACATGACAAATGTCAGATAACAAATTCTTTTAATCTCTGTTATAGCTGAGATACTTAAAATGATAGTAACGATAAGTACCTACATTAATAAAAAAAAATTAGTCACCTTAATGAAAAGAAAAAGGTACATTTTATGCAATTTTTAATATTAACCCAAGCATTCATTAAATAGTTTTATTAGGATAAAATAACTTTTTAATCACTAAAATTAATATAAATTTTCAATTTAAATCCTATTTTTCATCCACATTAATTTAACTTCTCTCACTTTAGTATATTGGATATAATAATTTAATATAATTTCATGTGAAAGGATTTTAAAATGTGACATTATTAAGTTAATTTATTAGAATACTATTTTTAATTTTTTTTTTAATTCAAACATGACACTTAAATAATATTATGAGTTGTTTTAAGAGGTGATGATTCGAGCACCAACAACTGCAAGGGTGATTGAGCGTTCATTGTCAAATGATTTAAAGTGTTTAAAACATATATTACTTTATAATTACTTTAATTTAATCAAATATAAATATATATATATATATATTGTAAAGTCCATTTTGCGTACATGTCAGAATTTTTATGGTATTATTAATACAAACATAATAATAATAATAACAACTATTCAAGAATAAATAGCAGACCGAATTAAACGACCTCAGTGGTAAACAACTATTGTTATTCTTTAAGGTTTTGAGTTTGAGCGTCACGAATATCAAAATGTCAACGTTTAATGTCAAATATTTAAAGTTATCTTTAAATAAACCCATATTATAAAAAAAAAAAGCGTGAGTAGTATACTAGAACAACCATTATAAATTTGTAGGTTTTTATTTTAACGTCCACGTTAAAATGCATATCATTTTAATGACACATTATCATTTCTTTACTCCTTGCCGAGAGTTAATATATATTTATATAATCAACTCCATTAGAAGTAAATTTCCAATTCCCTCCTACAGGTGGAATTGTTCAACATATATATATATAGCCAACTGATTATCATATAATAAATTAATTCATAATTATCATAACATTATCATTTTTGAATAATCGGCGAAAATACAAACTTGCTTATATATAAATGATAATTTTTACTCTATTTTCTCGTAAACTTATATGTTTCTTAAAAAAGTAGTCTTATTTAAATTTAGAGGTAATTAAATCACAAGAGTAATCATCTTGGATTATGTTTATTATATCAACAAATTATTTTCAAATCGGAGACAATTAATTTTTAACTGATTAAGATATTATGTTTTGATTTAAATTATAATTGATAATTCAGTTGGATTTATTATAATTTTATTGTTGAATATATTACTTGGTAATTGAGTTTATTTGATAAGTAAGTACTTATTTTAAGCAAAAATTCTTATGAAATAAGATTCTTTGGTGGCAAGTATTTGATTCTCTAACAGAAGTATGTCTTAACCTTTAAAAAAGAGAGAATTATGTGGGGATATGTAATCCATATCTATAACTTTTAGGGTTTATATTTAGATGATTTTGTAAGAATACTAAGAGAGTTATTTGGGATTTGGAGACTGACTTTGCTCCTGGAGCTCCACATGACTAGGTTATCACCTACAAAACACAATTACCAAAAGTGGACCTTCGATCATCCGAGTTCCCAGCCCATCAGCGTCAGCAAACTCCACAACGTTCAAGCCTGCCACTGCTGTGCAATACTAATCCATGATTAAGTGTCACCAAGTACCTCAAATCCTTTTCACTGCCACTAGATGTCATTGTCTCGGGGCATGCATGTATTGCGCTACATTGTTAACGCTGAAGGCTATATCCGGTCGAGTGTAACACGCGTATAGCAACACTCCTACACACTACGATACTCATATGCATCTTGAAACAACATACCAACATCTCTAGTTAACTTTGAAGACAAGAGCATGGGTGTAGAGGCAGAACTTGCATTGCTCATCTTGGTCTTCATTAACAGCTCTAAAATAAATTTTAGTTGACTGAGAATCAACGAACCACCACACAGTTTAACTTCTACACCAAGAAAGTAAAGAATACCTCCAAGATCTTTTAAGGCAAACTCATATCCAAGCAGTCTCACAACCTCTTCACTTTGATCGTTTGAATCTCCAATCAAAACTATTTCATCTACATATACGAGCATATACACATATTTACCCCCGGTATTTCACACAAACAATAAGTATCAGCTGTAGACTCTTTAAAGCCAATTCGAACCAGACATTGCTTAAGTTTAGTATGCCAGATTCGAGGTTTCTTCTTTACCTGGCACCTGCGAAAACCCTTTCGCTACCAACCTAACTTTATACCTGCTAATAGAACCATCAGGGTTCTTTTTTAGTATGAACAACCATTTACACCCTACCACTGATCGACCTTCAGGGAGCTTAACAATGGTCTACATACCATTTTTCCGCAAAGCCTCAAACTCTGCATGAACTGTCATTTTCCAATGAGGTGACTGGAATACCTATTGAATATTTATTGGTTTCATAACAACTTAATACACCTTTGGTTTGAATATACCAAATTTGCTTCTTGTTAGCATCGAATGATGATTTAAAGAATGTGTAACATCTTCTGATTGAATTGATTCTTCATCACCTCTTGTACCTACAGCGTGTAGATGAGAGACTGCATTTTCATGTGGACTGGACTCAGCCACATCTTGTGCTCCTGATTCTGTACTCTCAACTGTATCAACAGATGTTGCAACACTAGGCACGCTAGTTGTCTCCTGCTCAACCACCTCTCCTACGGGACTAACAATAACATCTTCATCAGCCTGACTTGACACTTTAGAGTGTCAGATTGCAGCGCATGACTTCCACCGGTTTGAAAGTTACGCACGTAAAGGCACAAAATCTATTGCCTTAGACTTCTGCTTACACGAAAAAGTAACGTCACGCGAACTAGCAGCCCCTGTAAAAGGAAAAACTTCCTCATCAAATACCACATGCCTGGATATAAATATTCTTCCATTGGCACATAAGCGACAGGCAACTCTATGAGCAATACCATATTCAGCAGAACAGACGAGAGACTACGATATTCTCCGCCCCAGTCGCTCTGCACGTCCTTGATAGCCAAGCCAAACTGAGTGATTTGCTAGAACAACTTGAAGACTTACACTGCCTATGACCTGTTTTTTTTAAATACACCAAAGTATGCCTCGAGTAGGCATCAACAAACGACAAATAATAATAGCCATTAGAGGAGATGTGAGACGGACCCCCAAATATCAGTAAATACAAGTTAAAAAGGTTCAATATACATAATATTTGAATAAGAGAATGGCAGTTT